TTGTGTGTTAAACAATTAGTGAAAACAGTAAAGTAGAGAATAATATCTTGAAATAAACGTGTGCCCCTCACTTTGAGAACCCCTGGTCTAAAAGATTGACCTGAAATCAACTCCTGGTAGTAATAAATTAAATATATTTCCATTCAGGCAACAATAATTATAGTCTAACATTGCCATTAATATTGTAGATTATATGTTTTTAATGTGATACTAAAACTAGTTATTATTTATTTTGCAGCTAAGTCCAGACTTTGGTGAATCATCAAGAGGCGTGTCAAGCTTAAATTATGCATAATCAGAAAAAACTATTATTTAGTGCTCATATATTCAAAAGAAAAAATGTAAATCATCTAAAAGGAGCGGTGCATGTTGAGCAACAGAAACTGTGAGGATGTATTTCTATGTTTTATTTTCACCGGAGCAGACACAACACAAGTGCACACTGGTTGTAAAAGGAGGCTCCAAATGTCACAGTGTTGGAGTATTGTCACGTCAGCATCACCTGATGAGTGCGTCCCTGGGGTCTCCCCCTGTGGTCTCATGGATAACCTGTCAGCTTGTTTGATAAAAAGGCCAGCGGTCAACATGAGCCCTTTAGCATGACAAGGAGAAAGTATTGGATCTCTGAGGCCTTGGATACAGTCAACAGCAGACATATCAGGTGGCATTCCCTCCACATTCCAGTCCCAATCAAACGCTGCGTATTTGAGGATATCCTTAGAGCGTTTAGGGCTGTGTTTGCTGCCTGACCCACCAGGGCCAGTGCAATAACTGTGACTCCCTCCCTCTGCAGGAACCCCTCTCCGGTTTTATTTAGCCGCTTGTGTGCTTCCCAGTCCAGTCGCTTTTCAGATTCATTTCCAGGTAAACACAGTGTGGCCAGCCACAAACCTGCAGCCAACAGGCGTTGTCACAGCTGTGGCAGATAATGGTGAGCCCAAAGTGCAGCAGCGCTGGAATGTTTACCGTCCTCACAGCAAACACTGTCTCTGCCACTTTGGGAGAGGGCACCTCGCAATTATTACTTTGATTTTGATGAATTACATGCTCCCCTTTCCCCTCTTTTATGGAATACTCGAGAAAGTACATATACGAAGCGTCCAAGAAAGACAATTGTGTTCAAAGGATTGGCCAAATTCACCTGTTTTTCACAAAAAATGAAAAACATGAACATTTTATTAATGAAATTTATGTTATGTTCATAAATAAGAACACATTTCTGAAAAGGTTTTTATTCATCTTCAACTGTCAACTGGCATCTCTTACATATGGTAATAGATGCATTAAGTGGTTCAACAAAGAACTTTTGGACTTTCAACATTTTCAGAAGAGAGAGAAATTTGATATCACAAACCGTTTTACAGCTCGGTGAGTTTCCATAAACTCTATATATGTATGAACACTCTGCTCGGCTCCTGGAGGGTTCTGAGCTGGATTTCTGCTGTTCTGTGTTTTTCTGGACTTCTGAGGTTCTATATAAATACATGTTATAAAGGCAGAAATATGGACATTGAAACATTGTTACTGCTTTTTCTTTATGTTAATCTTACAGAGTACAACATATTGTACACACTGTTGTATTTGGATGATCCCAGCTCCATGGAAGTGAATCTAAGAACTTATTGGAGCCCAATAAGAGTTTGCTTTGTCCAACCACTTTTCAAACTCTATTTTTCAAATTGAATTTTTTTGGTGTATGAAATGAGTTTGTAAAAAACACTTCAATGAGTTTTGACACCTTCTCATCAACATCACTTGTTTGAAGGAATGTTCCACCTCCGCCCTGCTGCCCCCCCATGCCACCCCCTGTCTCCCCCCCAGCGGTCAGCAGCGGTCAGCAGCTCCACAGAACCATGTTCAGGGCCTGAGATATCGCACAGAGGAAACTGTTAGTGTTGGACTTTCTCCTTTTAACACCAACTAATGACACTTTCACATGTATCTCTTTGTTCTTGTGATGAGTTCCGAAGGGACGACACCTGAAAGTGTCAAAAGTAACACTAACTATGATGGAGGATAATCATGAGGTGACAAACCAGATGCATGAAAGCTGCTGGCCTGCAGGGAGAACTGAAGAACACACGGACTGAAGAAACTATTGTATTTTTAAAACCCTGTTACGCTCCCTATGAGTCTCATGGGCCCTCTCTTTATTCCATTTGTTTTAGTGAGACAATTGATAAACTATAAAATCAAACTCCTGCATGTGGAGTTCAAAATAATGATTCCTTTTATTTGTGTATACATTGTGTGCTCCTTGTGTGCTCTTCCTACTGTCCTGTATGTGCGCTGCAACAACGAAATTTCCCCACTGTGGGACGAATAAAGGAACTCTTATCTATTTCCAGTGAAATAAGAAACCTGGGTTTGTGTCAGGACGAGTTTTATTTTTTAGAGTAAATTGGAAATCAGTGTGAATGGTTAAACAAATACATGTAATTAATTAGATATTTTGCAATAACACAAATTCTAATTCTGGAAATAAACTTCAGTGTATTTTGTGCATGGACAACTGCATTTGCTTTTTGACTAAATCCGAAATGTGACCTTCAACCAGGTGGCATGTGCTGTCTAGTTAAACATTAAACACAGAATTAGCCACATATCTTTTTAAGGAACAAAATGCTTGCTCGGTCATCGACCATTGCAAAAACGTAGACAGGCTCGTACGCCGTTGACTACACGTTGAATATAGGGCAGCAGAATTCATTCATCACTCATATATTATTTCCCTGACTATAGGCCCGGAATATTTAAACTGCTGCAGCGCACATGTTTTTCCCTCCTTATTTATTAAAGGAATATCCTGACCACAGAATAAATATGTGGCGTATGAATGCAAACACGATTCTATTTGTTTTGATTGAATTATCATTATGGTAATGCACTATCAACACGCTGCAGTAAAATGGACTTGACCGCGCAGAGGCGATGCGTAAAAAGCACAGATTTGACCACGTCCTTCTCCTCCGCGCAGTGCCAATATGCAGTCCTCAAATACACACTTTTTTCTCTCATGATCTCATTTCCAAGTTAAGCAGAGTCTGTTAGTCCCTCGTCAACACCAAAGGTTTACTCGCCTTTACTAATGGAGCTCAATGCAGATAGTTATGCTCTTGCGTAAATATGCGCTCAAATAGATGTACAACCAGCGACACGTGGCCGGAACGCACCTGCGTGTTTGCGGCTCACAAATATATATACAGTATATGTGCATGGGAGAATATGAAGCCGCGGGGCGACTGTATCCAGAATCGAAACAAAAAGCACAGACACACTAGATAAATTATTACCACCATTATATTATTTCACAAGTTTTCTTTGACACATAATGGATGGGGGAAAAAACCCAAAATAATAGTAAATATTTACCGGTCTCATTTCATCACATAGAGCAAGTTTGCTTTGCAGCGTTCATTTTCAAAATAATCACATAATTTCACGTTTTTTATGTCAATCGTATATATAAAATGTCCATTGAGGAGTTTTGACAAAAAAGAACACAGCAAATTAAACAACAGAGATGGTCCAGACCGTCCTTGAAAAGCTAAGTTTTTTTTCTTACAGTTATTATGCATCATACTAGTTATCTCAAATGTGTGTGTATTATGGTCTGCTATTCACATCCACGAGAGTCCTTAAGGGGAGTCTAATCCTCAAGTGTCCAGCGATCTATCCAGAACATGACGCAGTCTTTCATGGGCAGTATTTTTTTTTTTACATTTTAGATCAATTATAGATATAATTTAAAGAAAATTGTTACGACACTTGGATTTAACCACGCGTAGTGACTGCTCCTATTTCAACCACAAAACTGGCCTGGAAAGCCCTAATTTATGCACATATACGTTGTTTACATTAATTGAATATAGGCCAATAATTTAAATTGATAATAAAATAAAATTAATATAGACTTTTTACATAAATGTTAAAATTACACACGAACTGACAACTTCAATTTTAGTCTGCCAAATTAGTGTATTACTGAGGAAAAAAAAGTATTTCAGGATGCAGGCGAAAACACTTCTATATTAGTGACCAGCAGAGGGCGTCGTAAAGCTGCACTGCTGACACTATAAGCGCACGCACTTCAAACATTAAACCGTTTTGTAGATCCGCACGCGCGCAAATCACACCTTTTTTGCAAATATTAGGTAAGTGGCCTACATTAGCAAAACACACAACACCAATGATCCTGATTACCCTGCCTATAAAGTTGTAATCTTCTACAAATACCGCAGATAAAAAATACCTAATGGAACAACAGATTACAGTGTTGTTTACAAAAAATAGTTAGGCTGATCTGTAATGACACAATAGTTATGAGATAGTGTATTGATTAGGTTGACTGTATACTTTCATTTCAGACAACACAAGCTGCTATTTGTGCTTTGAGTTGTATCCATATAGACGGCAGCTGATTGACGTTGCTTTTACGCATTTAAAAAAAACTACAAAACCTCTATATGGAGCGAAATGTTCTTATTCCTAATCTATAGCCAACGCAGAATACACACTCTTGCAGCTGGCACAAAACGCACCAGGGCATCTCAGAACAGACCCCTATTTCACCTATAAATGCCTTTAAACACAAACAAGCCCCACAATGAACGCACTTTCTAATGAAGCTTTACATATGAAACTGTTCTTTTGATTGGCCGCAGGTGTACAATCGGACGTCAAGGGGTGGGGGAGTGGTGTGGAGCTTGAGGAGTCTCACGCCTAGGTGCGAGGAGATTATTCAAATAGGGCCCAAGGCGTAGAAGTAGGATTGGAGGCTTGTCTGGCGCACAGTGCTATATCACAGCGCTTACAGGCAGCACGGAGCGTCATTTGAACAGACCGCAGTGACAGACGGATCACGGTCATCACATGCGCCTGTTCTCCTCTGACGGGATACGCCGACACAAACCCAGTGGCCCCCAGATTGCCTCCACCTATTAGCGCGACACTTTTGGCTTTTTCCTCTGCTGGGAGACGCTTTGTGGAAGTCCTCCATGATGCTTGGAGCAGTTAAAATGGAAGGACACGAACACACCGACTGGAGCACCTACTACGCTGAGCCCGAGGTGGGTACCTTAAATATATATTTCTTCCCCGTCTAAAGCCGATCCCATTTTATACAACTCAATATTAGCACTGAGATAATATTAACTTTGTGATCAAATATTGACTTGAGGCGCCTCCAAATCCTCCCCCATCTCAACACTGGCGACCCTGCTCCCATCTCTGTGTGGAGTGAGACAAATGCCCAAAAAATTAACAATTGTAAACCGCTTTGAGACTCAGATCTGCAGTGAAAAGGCGGTATATAAATAAAAACTTACTTACTACTTACTTACTAACACGCAGCGACGCAGCGCGCTCTCCGCACCGAAGTTGAAATGCAGCACTGAACTTCGAACTGGGAAATGAGACAACCATTTTTACACATTTTACCTCAAATTGAATGTATTCATCATTTAGATGTGTTCATAGAACGTGTTGAGACAGAATGCAGATTCATGCAGTGTCCATTTACTGCCGCGAGCACAGACCATCGGCTCATTTCTACATTTACACGTTTACAGAGAGTTATAAATATAATATGAATATAATATAAAGAATTATCAATGTGCATTTGAAATGAAAAACAGTGACCTTTTTTGACAGAGTAGCAGCTGCTGTGTGATGTGGCTCTGACCTGCTCTTTCTCTTGCAGTGCTACACCTCTGTGGGCAACATGAACGCGGGCCTGGGCATGAACTCCATGAACACCTACATGAGCATGTCCGGCATGAGCAGCACGGCCAACATGGCGGCCAACCCCATGAACATGTCCTACGTCAACACTGGCATGAGTCCCTCCATGACGGGCATGTCGCCTGGCACCGGAGCCATGAACGGCATGGGCGCGGGCATGACGGCGATGAGCGCCGCTCTGAGCCCCAGCATGAGCCCCATGACAGCGCAGCCTGCGTCTATGAACGCCATCGGCTCTTACACCAACATGAACGCCATGAGCCCTCTTTACGGACAGAGCAATATCAACCGCTCCAGGGACCCCAAAACATACCGCCGGAGCTACACGCACGCTAAGCCGCCATACTCTTACATCTCCCTCATCACCATGGCCATCCAGCAGTCCCCCAGCAAAATGCTTACGCTGGCAGAGATCTACCAGTGGATCATGGACCTGTTCCCATTTTACAGACAGAACCAGCAGCGCTGGCAGAACTCCATCCGCCACTCTCTGTCCTTTAATGACTGTTTCCTCAAAGTGCCCCGCTCCCCAGACAAGCCTGGGAAAGGCTCCTTCTGGACTCTGCACCCAGACTCAGGAAACATGTTTGAAAACGGCTGCTACCTGCGCAGGCAGAAGCGCTTCAAGTGCGACAAGAAGCTCACCATGAAGGATTCTCGGAAGTCAGGTGACGGCTCTCACAGCAGCTCAGAGAGCTGCAACGGGAACGAGTCCCCTCACTCCAACTCATCCTCAGGGGAGCACAAACGGGCCATGGTGGACATGAAGAGCCAGGCCCTGAGCCCGGAGCACGGGGCAGCCGCGTCCCCCGTGTCCCAGAGTCAGCAGCACCTCATGTCCCAGCATCACTCAGTCCTGGCGCACGACGGCCACCTCAAGCCCGAGCATCACTACTCCTTCAACCACCCGTTCTCCATCAACAACCTCATGTCAGAGCAGCAGCATCATCACCACAAAATGGACCTAAAAACATACGAACAGGTCATGCACTATTCAGGCTACGGCTCCCCCATGGCAGGCGCGCTCTCCATGGGGTCAATGGCGGGGAAACCCGGCCTGGATGCAGCCTCTATCCCGGACACTGCGTACTATCAAGGCGTGTATTCTAGGCCCATCATGAACTCTTCCTAATGCACGCGGACTAGTCTCTTATTTGTATATTTGTAAAAAATCTATAGAATCTGTGTACAATATGTATTTGAAATATTTTCCCACCGGTTTAGTTGTCCAATAATGTTTTGTAGTCTGATTATTTTAATGCTGATGATAATTCAAGTGATGAGAGCAGATCTGTTCATGAAAGGACCCAAAGACACAGACAGAAATCCAAACCGCGTGCTGTACATTTGCATCATGCACACACACCACCGGAGATCTGCTGACACGTTACGCTGGATTCCTCAATCATTTGTGTAATTATTTATGGCTTGTATATGTGTATTCTTGTAGTGACAAGAACAGAATCTATATTAAAGTGTAATGCTTTTGTTTCTCAAACACAAACATTGTCTCTTTGTATTATTATGATTATTTGTATTATTACAATTAGGCCTTTATTATAACTTATTATCATTGGTAACATTATTCATTCTAAATCACTATAATTGTAATTATAGGAATATTATTATTATTGTATTATCTAAGTAAAGTCATGACTTTACGCACTGAATGAATTCTACAGGATTCTCTGAGCAGGGTTCACATATCAACAGTTGTGAATCCAACTGGAATAAAGGCCTAAATGTTTATGGTGCACACAATTATTTATTTTCATGGCAGAAACTTTTACTTTGTATCGAGAGAAAAAAGGGGGATTATTAGATTTGCTGGTCAAACGAGCACAAAGATCTCCATTTGTCTCGCAGAAAAAGTAAACAAAACAAACATATGCGTAATAATCCCAAACACAAACTAGAGCAACTCAAAGGGAAACATGATTGAAATCATTTCATAAAGAATGCGCCAAGTTGATACTGTAGAAATTATAAACGCGTGCGTAAAGTCCTTGCAGGTGAATTCGTGTGTCGTTTCCCAAGTGTCACTCAGACAGTGACAGGCTGCCACTCATGCCCATTACACACCTCACAGTTTAGATGAGTGAAGCAGATTAAGTGCCTTTGTCACATAAACCAGCTTCCCGCGGCGCAGCAGAATGGCGCTGGAAAAGGGGGCTGATTTGGGAACAGAGACTCGCTTTAAATTCTCCCCTCACAATCTGGGCCCCCATTGTCTCGCGTCTATTTGAAAGCAGCCGGAGCCTCCCCTCTCGTTAGATAAGACATAGGTTCGTGGTTGTAGTTGTTGTAGTTGTTGTAGGACCCCAAGCGCCGCTCCTCGGTGTCGGTGCGCTCAAATCCAAGGCCTGCGGCGCGCACCTGCAGCAGGCTCTGTCTCCTCCTGAGCGTGGCTAAGGTCTAAAAGTGCGTTTATAAGCCAGCCCCTCTTTACAGATCACAATTTAAACATCATGATCTGCGAATAAACAAGGCGAATAAACAATAGAGTCGAGGCTATGCCCACATATAGGAAAAGTACACACGAACCAAATTGCACAAGTGTAAACTTTGAATAGGACGCTGTAGCTCTTTGAAAATTTACACAGATATTAAATTTGGTTCTATTCATTTTAAACATATAATGCTAAGCTGATTCTTTTTTATAGCACACTGATCGATATCTTGGTAAAATAATCATTTTTTTTTAACTAGCGGGGCAGTGAAATCTTTGCTTTGTGCTAAAGTCAACAGTGACAGAGTTTGAGCTCAAATAAATGCCGTGATGTCTGAAGCCCTTTGCAGAAGGCACAAGGCGAGCTTCTACAATGGGTTCCTGTGGCTTGCCAACAACCAGTCAAGCCCCGACTGCTTTTGTGCAGGTACGAAGCTTTTATTTCTCCTTTTTCTAAACCTTCCGTGGGATGCAGATATTGCTTTGGTGGACGGTGGCCTTTTGCGGACTTGGCGCACAGAAGGAGGGGTAAGGAGCTCATATCCTAAATTCATGAGAAAGGATTGAATCTTGAGATTGGGTGGCGCAAAACTGAGGCATCTGGGACTTCTGTGATCCAGGAGCTTGCCTCATGTTTCTTGTTGTTGTGACAGAGAGTGATGTACTGCAGCCGCGGCGGACGCCGTGGACTCATCTCAGGTGCATCGCGTTATGCCGCAAACTCCAATTACGCACGAATTATAGCGCCGTGCACCTTTCCGTTTGCAATCAAGAAGCAACTGTAATTTTCTTTAAATGTGATTTATAGCCGTTTCTTGTTCTAGCTTAGCCTAAAAAGATGTATTTAATGATCATGCATTTATTTTGATTAAAAAAAATACATACTCATATAATATTTTATAATAAAGGTTAATAATTCTAACATTAGTCTAATAGTCCAAGGCAACGCTAACATTGATGTTATCAATAATATTGGGCCTATTATGAATACCATACTTTTTATTATTGAATTATTAGAATGAATTATAATTATTAGTCATTTGCGTTTGATAATTGAATATTTTCAAATCGTAATATTTATAACAATACTAGTACTGCCAATAATCATACGAATAATAATAATATTATTAATTAATTATTATTATTACTATTATTATTATTAGTATGATATAGTTCTAGTCATTATCATTTATTGTGGTATAATAAACTATACGCTCAGTCGGTGCATGCAGGTGCATGAAGCCTCCGGAGATGGGACCGGCCCTGTGCTGTTACTGGTTCAAAGGTGCACAACCTCAATCAGCTCTAGAGATACAGTGCGTACGTGCGTACACGCGCACTGCGATCAGACAGACCTCAGACAGACCTCAGACAGACCTGCTGCTGAAACCAGCAGAGAGGCAGCAAGACATCCCTGCAGCCTGTTGAGCCTGAATTGTGCACGTTCTCGGTCACGTTTGCAAATGTTCGGCAACAATTCAAGACGTTTAATTATGAGAGTATTATTATTGTCTATAGACATAGATATAAAGGTTGTGTATAGGCTGTAGACTGTAGGCCTTTTCCCGTTAAAATACGGTCAGTTAACAGTTTCCTCTTTCTTATCTTGTCCTGTTATGAATGGAGGCAGATGGCAATCTCCCTGCAGCGATGGATTTTAAAGATGAGGTGAGTTTGGGCCTCTATTTTCACAGAATGACTCAGACCACGGCGCAGCCACGGTGCCACCCATGGGCGTCAACAGTTGCAGACTTGTAAAGATAAGGCGCTTTTTGTCAGGCCACTGGACTGAGCGAAAGCGCAGATGTCAATTTTGTTCCGAGAACAACATTAAACGCAGAGCCAGGTTTAATTGTAGCGATCCGAAGTTGTGCATAATGTATTATGCCGTGTCAGAGCAGTGTATTGGCTCATTGTCTGCCGCACCTATAGCAGCGTGCTGCAGCCCGCGCAGGAGAACACCCAAGTAGAGCTGTCTCCATGGAGACGGCGGGACACCGGTCCAACAAGCTGTAATTCTGTCTCAGCCTATTGCAGGGGAGGGCCCGTTCACGATAGCGGGACTTAACTCCTCTTTGAGCAGAAACACGGCTAATCCAGCCTGTGAGCGGCCCAAGTGCCGGCCCTTACTATATTAAAGCCCCGAGAGTCACAGCCTACAGCCTACAGCCACCCATGGCTTCACAGCGGGAGGCCTCTGCCCCTGACACCGCGCGTGCACCGTGCATGGGCCTATGTGGATTCGTTATCCCAGTTCTTACATCTCATCTGGCAAAAATACATCACTCATTTATAGCACGCCTGAACCCTTAAGCCCCTCTTAAATAAATAATGAAGTAGAATTATAACCCAAATAATAATCTAATTCATAATAGTATGTTTATAAATTATAGCTTGGTTTAGTTTTAAATTGCTATAGGCCATACAAACATTAAACCACTGAGATGATGTATTTTAAAATATATGATTACTGAATAACCCTTTGTGTTGTTACATGTAAATCTTTATATGAAATAAAAGATTATTTTTTTTCTTTTCGTTTGGAAGTCTTGGAACTGTACAAAATGTGTGATGATATCCCATGAGCTGCATCAGTGGTATCCCTGAGCGTATGGAAAAAGCAGGGCAGAGGCCTCAGACTGTGATGTGTCGGGCTCCTCTCGCACCACTCTGTGACATTCCTGTGTGGGACTCCATCATGTCCACTCACACACACACAGCTCCGTCAACAATGCCCATTGACTAGTGCATGGCGGCGGCAGCTGGTGCAGAGACGCACTGACCTAAAGAGCACCATTCAGCCCCTCTCTGCCCCTCTGCTGCTGTCTCTGCCGCTTTTATGTGTCTGGAAGGGGATGGATGGTCAGTGTTTGTCCTGCTGGAACACTCGGCCCCTCACCAAACCCAAGCAATCACTAGGAGGGCCGCCCTGGAAATCTGTGGAGATAATGTAAATATGTAGAAAAAGAGAACTTTCCAGCCACCTTCAGAGCGACACGATAAAATATAGATGAACGGCTCGGAGAAGAAGAGCGGCTCAAGCGCGCAGGGGAGATAAGCTGCTGGAGGAGAAATATATAAGCTTCCATGCAGGTAATAAGAGTGTGGCCAATCACGCAGAAAGATACTATAGCTGCGAGATTAGAACGAGCTCAAAAAATGAAGTTGGAATCACTGCCAGAAAATGGATTGTATTTGCTTTTTCAAACATTTCCCTACGGTACTCTGAGATATTGTCTGGTAAAAAAGGTTTCCATAAAAGGATATCTCAGTTAGCTGGCTGCTTTGCTATAAATCGATTTGCTAAGATTCCTTTATTCCCCTGGAGACTATAGTGGGCCATGTCTTTGATTTGTCTTGTCATATAGAGGTACACAGATACAGGCTAGGGCCATTCAATACCATTCAAAAGATATAGATTATAAATACAATGAAGCAAAAATTATTATTAAAAAATATAATGCAAAGTAATTGCCAAGGTGACGTCATCTACTATGCCTTTTTATTGAACATATATCATACTAATCATTACAATAACAATAATGACACAATTGTACAAAACATAAAAAGGCATATTTCTTTTTAATTCAAAACCTGTCATCAGGATCTGCCTACAAGATAAAAGAATTTCAAAGATAATTTCACTAACAAATAAAAACATACTAATAATAACAATCAAAGTCACTGAAATAATCAAATGACTCGCATCCCAAACACTATCAAGGCAGTTTCTCTCATCTGCAACAGGCCCTCTGCATGAACGACATCACACATCTCCCCAGTGTTCCTGATCCAGGAAGTAGAGCCAGATCTTCACCAGCCAATCACAACGAAGGACACCCAACTCATTAAAAGTTAATGAAACCTATAAACGTGGTGCGCCAGCGATTCATTTAAACCCCCAATCCAATCTCCTCTCCCGGCAAAGGCAAACAAGCCCATGTGGCCCCCAAGTGCCGCCTCCGGAATAACAAACTACCCAATATTTTGTCTGCATATGTCCTCCTATGTGGACATGTACACCCTGATAGGCTATCTTACACTGGGATTTGTCCAATTTAGTGAATGCCAGGCCGGTTCTGCACAGGGCGAATTCTGTAATCTGACTGCTAGTTGAATATAATGCCGTTCCTTTTACACCAGATCCATGCTTGTCGGGAATGGGCTGAAAAGACATATGGCATTTCAACATTTATGAGAATCACTGACATTCAAATAATGTGCTGATTTTAATAGGGTTTGAGTGAGGGCCAAATGTGCGTGAAGAGGACTGGTCATGGTTCTACGAGTGTCGAGAGCTCGTCTTGATCCATGCTGGTGGAAAAGGAGAAAAAATGGAATTCTTCTACGCCAATTTTTTCTTTTAATCCTCATTTTGGTTCAAAGGCTGCAGTATCGACAATAGAGTTCAATATATTTAATAATATGTCACATGTGCAGGGACAAAGTTAAAAAATCCATAGATATAAGACGAGTTTTTTGACAATGCCATACCATTTTTAAAGCACAACTCAAAATGTTGTCAAACGTATCCTACAATTTCAAGACATAAGTCAGAAATGTATTAAAACCAAATGTTTCATCTTGATTAATTAACAATATAAAGGACAAATACCAATGCACAATTTATAGACAATTAGGCATGTGTCTAGTCATTCTTATATTTCTGTGTAGTTTTTGAAGCGCAGTTTCCAACAATAGCAATTTTCCAAAATGTTTTCCAGCGGTTGAATTGAGTTCCAGCCCCATTCATTTCATATGGCTTTGTCTTCACCTACACCTACAAAGCTCATACACCCACCGCCTATGCTGCCATTTCATGCGTTTACATCATGCAGCCTTCCACCCAACCACCAGTGAAGTGTCAAAATCCGTTTACAACACACTCCTTGTCTTTTAAGAACCCCTATCTCTCCACACCGCCTCTTATTGCTTCCCATGGGACTGGTTGAAATTAAATTCTGCTCGTGTATAGTGTCACTGTCAGCCCGTTAATGAATTCCCATACCCTGACTCCAATCAAATTAATCCCCGTTTTAATCTCATATAAACGGCGGAGGCATTTAGAGTGGAGCGGCGGGCAGGAAGGAGACGCTGGGGAGGAGGTTGTTGTGGAAGATTAGGCTTGAAGTATGAGGCCGTCACTCCAGCGGTCCCCTGACGCTCACTATTTAACCCTCGCCTGCTTGATGCTGACAGGAACATCCCCGCACTTGTCACTTAGCAGGCGCTCAGATAACGGAAGGACGGGCCCAGATTTATAGCGGACAGCGAGGGCCTCCTCTTGGTCCTGGAGCAGTATTTTCCGTCTAGTTTAAAGCCGAGGTACCTACTTTTTTTCCCCCAATAAATAATCTGTTTATTCCAACAGAAAAAAAGTCTTGTGCTGTCTTTGTCTTATTAAAGAAGGTGTTGTCTTTTGCTTTC